AAATACACAATAATTAGGAAACAGCGTATCTTACCTCTACATATATCTCTTGCATTTGGGGGATGGGGCAAGCCCATCACAGATGAAACTATCTCTTTTCTGCAAGGGTGTCTTTGGCATAAGTAGGTGAAGATGTGATGCTAAATCAATCCAAAACTTAGCAAAAGAATGTTCAAAAGTGTCTCAATTCACCTTAGTTGAAATCCAGTGAGTGAGTTATTGGAAAGGGGGTCTCCACTAAGACAGCCAAAGAATTCAGGAAGAAGCACCCTTGAATCATTATGGAGACATTTATGATAAGTCACATACTTGTATTAATTTGTTATTTAAAACCACAAAATAACCAGTGCTTTCCTAAATATTAGGTATAATTGCATGAATTAATTTTATACTAAGTCCCTTTGTCTAGTATTATAAAGATATTTAGAGGTCGAACTTCCTCATGTCAGTTAAACCATTTCACACTACTGTTACAAATTAAAGTTGATTCCATGCCTGTTTCCTAGAATTTTCTTTTGTCAAAAATTTTCCAGGAGAAAAGATGTTAACGATTGTTTATATTAAAATAATTCATCCCTATCTCATTGTTTTCCATTACTACACATTTTGTTTTCCTCTAAACTTTTAAAAGAAAAATAATTTTCTTCAGTCACTAATGTTTCAGTAACTTATAATTTTCCATTGAATAAAGATGGCTTTGAACAGCTGTTAGAATTTAAACATCTTCATGCTGTAATGCATATCTGTTGTCCCAGCTCTCTGGAAGTAGAGGCGGGAGATTCAGCTTGACTGATCAGACAGTGAACCCAGTCTGGGCTACATGATGTCCTGTCCCCAAAACAAGCAAACAACAAAAAGAAAGAAGTATTTGATTTTAATTCAGACAATGAGAACATATTATTGAGATATTAATGGGGACCTTTAAAGGATTTTATCAAAGTTTTTGTATGTTATAAACTACAATAAAATAATGATCATGTGCCTTTTTCTTTGCACATTGATATTTGCTGTTAAAACCATTATTTTAGGGTACTTAATTTCTATCTGGCAAGTCACAGCTGAGTTCATTCTACTTAATTTTTTGATCATAGAGTTGACTAGATAATAAAAAAATGTCCCATTTTAGAACACTTATAAATTGTATTTAAAATATAAGAAGCATCTTTTATGTGCACAGATTAGCCATAGGCAAAAGGGTCTCTCAAAGACCTCATGAGTTTAGGAGGAAATGCAGTAGCTGCCCAGGGGGAGTTTGTTCTTTGAAATACTTCCTTTGAAGTACTTTGCACATCTTGTGTCATGTTTTATTTTAAAGGTCCATGCAAAGGAAAACTTTCAAAGATGTACAAAGTAGGAAGTAGAAATGAAATGATTACAGATGGCTATAACTTATGGATATCCAGACCTTACATAAAAGTACATGTGTGGTCAAACCTCTGCCCACAACTAAAGGCTATCAAGAAGGGATTATTCTGTATCACCCAGGATTATAGGATAGGAACAAAATTCCCCTCCCCAACCAATTACCCCCAGAATTTGCTTTCGAAATTTAGTCATGCAGCAAAATAGTTTCAAAACTTCCCAGAAAGGACCCCCCTCTCAATGTATACCACACAAAGGCAACTCAAAATAGCAAACACAAATAAGATAGTATGTTTCAGACTATTATTTTAACAATGTAAAGATGTGTTACATTTGTTTATGCTGCAGAATATTACTTTAATTGTGAAAAGTTGTATTACTTTTGTTTATTCTGCATTCATTTAATGATGTAAGGATGTGTTTTTGATTATGTAAAGATGTGTTGCATCTTATTCAACTTGTCTGCCTAAGGCTCCTACCTGATTGGTCTAATAAAAAGCTGAATGGCCAGTAGCTAGGCAGAAGAAAGGATAGGATGGGGCTGACAGGGAGAAAATAAATAGAAGGAGAAAACTAGATTCAAAAAGGAGAAGAATGACAGAAGGAGGAGAGAATGAGGGATACGTCTGGGACAAAAAGCCAGGCAGACACTAGCCAGATATAGACATAGCAAGAAAGTAAGATATACATAAAGAAAGAAGGTTAACAAACTCCAAGGCAAAACGTAGATAATGAGAAACAGGTTAATTTAAGTTAAATGAGCTAGCCAGGCCAAGCATTCAAAACTAATAATAAGTCTGTGTGTAGTGATTTGGGAGCTGGTTGGTGGCCCAAAAGGAGGAGCCTGATACAATAGTAAATCTAAACATACCAATAATAAATATAATCAATACATTGAATAATTTATAGGAATATTATATAGCTAACTTTACATGTTTAACCATGTTCTATTTGCCAGAAATTCATAGAAAAATGAAAGTTGAATCTAATACCAAGGAAAACTGTACTAACTGACGCATTAATGATGAGAACATTAGGGAACGGTCTAGTTAGTTTTTTGTCAAATTGATACAAAGAAGATTCTCCCATGAGGAGGGAACTTCATTGAAGAAATACCTCCATCCAGTAGGGCTATAAGCCTGTAAGCATGTATGAGTGTGTTGGGGTCGGGGAGCAGTACAATGGGCCATGCTACCATTGCACAGGGTCCTTGAAAGTCTAAGAAAGGGGCTGAAGACAGGCATGGAGGCACCGGGTAAGCAGGAATTCTTCAAGGCTCTTGTCTATGCTCTTTGCGTTCCTGCCCTGACTTTCTTCAGGGATGGACTGTGCCTGGGGCATGGTAAGCCAAATAAGCCCTTTCTTCCCCCAAGATGCTTTTGGCCAGTGTTTAATTACAGCAGCAAGCAAACAAGAACAACAGATAAATGTGATCTTTATCCAAAAATAAAACCAATAATTCAAAATAAATAAAATCCATAAAAGTAAGAGAGGTTTAATTATTCAATAACTTAGCTTTGAAGTGAACAAAACAAAAATTAATAGACACCCACATGGAAACATCAAAAAACTTACTACTTTAATGGAATTTTAACATTTCTTCCTTACTAATAAATTCAAAATCAATCCAAAGTTGTTTATTTCATTAAGCAATTCTAACTCATGATATCTAATAGGTTAATGTAGTGAACATGTAAAGAAAACTCTTTGAGGAAAATAATGCATTTAAATATGAAATGAAATTTATAAGACCATACATAGTTGCCAAACTATAAAGGCTTCTTCTGTTGACTCAACCAATGTCTAAATGGAAAAAAAATCTGTTAGTATCAATATAATTGATGAGGTTTCAGCAGTTCTGCACTGTATCTTTTTTGATGATTAATATTTGTGTGTATTTATCAGTGTTTCCTAAAAATGTACATAGAGGTAACAGTTTAAGATTTCCATATATTCATATACTGAACTTTGATCATTTTTATCCTCTTTTACTTTATCCTTAACACCCCCTCTTTTCTCCTTAGTTGTGCACTGTGTTTCTCTTTTTTGCTTATTTCATTATGCTTTCTGTTTGGCTTTAAAAAAAAAAGAGCACATTTTAGTTTGAATTAAACTTTTTGGTCATGTTTTTCTTTCCCCTAAGTCCCCCCCAGAACCCTCTCATTTTCCCCCCACTCAATTATATGTTCTATATCCCCCCATTCAAAAATAAAGCATGACCAAAAAAGAGGGTACAGGGCAAAGAGATGCCAAAATGAATCAAAAAGTCCACTAAAAAAACATGTAGTTTTCTTTGGTGTATTAACTTTTTAAGAAGATTGATTGCTTGTGTGTGAGTGAATTAATGTGTATCAGAGGCCAGAGAGGGCATTGATCTCCTGGAAGTGGAGTCATGAACCACCATGTGGGTCCTTGGAACAGAGTCCAGACCCTTTACAAGAGTAGTTAGTGCCCTCGACCACTGACTCATCTCTCCATACCTGTTCACTAATTTTTTAAAAAGTATTTTCTATCATACAATGGGATTCAGATTCTATAAATTATAGTGACCTTTTTAAAAAGCTATTTTCCAATCTCTCTCTCCCCATCTCTCTCTCTCTCTCTCTCTCTCTCTCTCTCTCACACACACACAGAGAGAGAGAAAGAGAGAGAGAGAGAGAGAGAGAGAGAGAGGGAATTAACTGTGTCACTATTCTTAAAAGTTACATAAAACTTAAATGCTAAGGAGTAGGTTAACACTTTTAAGTACAAGAATTGCAGCAACAAAAATAATCCATCAAAAATATCAACAGTTACTGTATATTAATACTTTATGTGAGAGATGCATTTTACTTGCATGACAAATCTGCATTTTAAATGATTGTACATTGTTAGATCATTTTATTCTGCACAAAAAATATATAGGGCTGTATATGCTAATCATTCATCCTGCACAATAAGCATATAGAACTGTGCCTCTGTGGTTTGGATGAGGCGCCTGAGATGCAAGACAGTTAAGTAAATTGTCTGAGGTCACAACAATAGCAACAGAGAGATAAATAACAATCATTTAATATAGCATATCTCCTAAGTCAGACTCTGATAATGTTGTGTAAACTGTGATCTGTGACATTCTAAATATGTGGGAATAAGAGTGTCATTAAGAGGTGCCCTCTAACATACAGTAAAATAATCCATAGAGCCCATTTATTTAAAATGTCAATTTCCTTACACCCTCTTAAATGTGCTTTTCAGTCTTTGAAAATATTTGCCAATCTTGGAAACTATAGATGACTTTAAAATACAATCCTTACCTATAAGCTCTCAACCTGGAAATTCTTTCATCGTATCAAGTAGTGTTATAATACTTTCCTATGCTAAATCATTTACCAAAATCATAAACTATGTTTTATAACAACACAATGAAACTGTGCAGAAAAATTCAAAACAAAGAAGGGTTTTATTTCTTAAATAGGAAGGTATATCATAACTAAGTAATATGTTTGCTATTAAACTCAGATTATTCCTTAATCTTCATCTGAGTTCTATTAAATTTGAGAGAATAGACAGCGTGGCCCATGTAGCCATGACAATAAGTCGTGATTGGCAGTTGTCTGAAAACATCTCTCTTTACTTTGATTTTCTACTTTCCCTTCTAGGAAAGATTTCTGTGTCCACAAAGATGAGCCATGTGATACTGTGGGTAAGTACCTGTGAAAAACTTTCGGTTTAGGAACACTGGAGAACTTACATATATGTGTTGCTTATATATAGTAAATTATTTGAGGGTGCTGAAATTGAAGGATTAATTTTGCAATGTCATATATGCATGTATGTTGCAACTATGTGCTAAATCCTGTTGTCACTTCAGCTACTGTTGAAACAGCTTAAAGTCATACATAAACTGTACACTGGAGCTATTTTCATTGTTTTAAGACTATCATCTATTCTTTCTTGTCTTTCTCCAATGATACACAATGCATTCAATAGCATTTTATTATTGTTGATAACACAAGGCTAAATACATTTATAATATGAGAATAGATAATATTTGAGTCATATATGCTTCAAGTGATTTGCAGATTATAAAAAGAAATCCATCTACTTTGACTGGTGAAGACTCTTGGACACCACATAGCAAATTTTCCAAGTTTTTAATTGATATCAAAATTCCCAATAAGGTAACCCTAGAGCCAATAGAATACATGTACCTGTCTTTCTAGTTATTGGACAACATGCACATGCATGTCTGTTAAAATATGTGCAACTGTGTTAGTACACATTAAAAAAAAAAAAACAAGACAGGTGGAGAGATAGCTAAGCAGTTAAGAGCACTGATTGTACTTCCAGAGGAACTGGGTTCAGTTCCCAGCACACACATGGCAGCTCACAGCTGGCTCTAATTCCAGTGCCAGGGGATCTGCTGTCCTGTTCTCATTTTTGCTGACACCAGGTACGCACATAGTGTGCAGACATGTGTGCAGGCAAAACATCTATGCATATAAAATAAATAAAACTTTAAAAGAGATCTATGTGTTATATGCATATGGATGTATATTCTTCCATTCTAGGTTCAGTGAATGCAAAAAGCAATATTGTTAAGGTACATTCAAGACATATAATTAGATTTTGGCATATATCATGTAAGGTTTCTTTCTTTAGGGTAGCAAGTACTTTAACTTACCCACCTTCAGATTCTCATTTGTTCATTGAAAAATGAGCAAATAAAAATAGATGGGGCTGGAGAGATGGATGGGTCATTAAATTAACATCAGTTGCTTCTCCTCAGAAGATCTGGGTTCATTCCCAGCACCTAAATGGTGGGTCACTACAGCCTATAGTTCCAGTTCCTGGGAATCCAACCTTCATCTGGCCTCCAAGAATGTCCATGTCCATGATAGACAAACATACATGTAGGCAAAATTCTACACAGAAGAAATTTTAGGTGGCTAGAAATTTAAATGATGAAGTAGTTCCATTACTTTGATTTCTCATCAGCGTCCTCATATATTTCAACTCTTGGATAAAATATGAAATATTATTACAAAGCAAATTATGATTATGAAATCTAGGTACTACTTGACTCAAAGGGCCTCTCAGTATCGTAAGAGCTAGATACCCACAGAAGCCTGACTTCACTCAGACATGGTCTTCCTCATGTTCTCACTGGTTTCCTTCAGTTTTCTTCTTTTCTTTCCCCAAGCACTAAAAAATATCTTTGTTTTAGTCATCCTAACCTTGGAGTATTTGATCATGAAGCACTCTTGTCTCAACAGAGGTACACTTGCCACACACATCCACACACCCAGCTCTTTAAGTGACAGCCTATCAATGGCTCACCATGTTCAAATAAGTACTGGGACTCAACCACTGAGGTGGCATTCTGTGTGAACTGTCTCACCCCTTAAAGAACAGGACTTCAGGATGCCAGGCCCAAGCCAGTTTAGCACATGAAGTTGCCTTGGTCGAGACTGCAAGCTGTCTCATGTGTGCTTCACTGAGCCATAAATGGTTCATGTATGTGCCCAGAATATATGAATGAAGAATAATCCAACTCCAATAACTACAATTACAAAGGAATCATGGCCTATGATTAATATAGCATTCTTCACTGAGGAATGGAGAGAAGGGAGATGTCTTTCCGTGGACACTTACACCATAGAGTCTAATCTCAGAACACATGTTAATGTTTGGGTTTATTGAAGTAGCCAATGTAAATTCCTATTATTTAATCCAGTTTAAGTCTTCTGTTTCTGTTATTTCAAGATGTGGGTAAATAAATCTACCCTGATCCTCATGTGCCCTGTGACAAATAGAAGAGTATCAGACAATATTAGTAACATCTCTTCCACAATCAGGAAAAGGCTGATGTTTCTCTTCAATTTGTTAGTAAATATAACACTCATAGTTACTATATAGTGTGTCTATATCCAGCCATCAATCCACACCTCACAAATATATGATACCTCTTCACTCAGATACATCCAAAATTGTATGCATGGCTGTTGGAGGACATGCTATTTCATCACAAGACAATTTTCTCTTCTATGATGATTTCACATGGATTTATCTTACTTTCTCAATTTTGATGAGAAGACTGCTTCTAGGTTGATTGGGTTTAAATAGTCATATAAGGGCCATCATGTAAAAATTAGATAGGCATTGATATTTTGTCAATTTTCTTATGAGGTTATAATCTCTAGTAAAGTAAGGAGATTTCAGGCTCAAATTAATAAAACATATTTATACACATTTGTAAATCTCTGAATATAATATGAAGGGTTGTAGTTCTGTCAGATGCCTTTCCTAAAACATGTTCCTTCTTTCATCATTTATTTAGAATGGACTTGGATTCAGCATGTTATAGATCAGATGTCGTAACAAGTGTGTTTAGAAAGACAAAGGAATGGCTTCAAGATTCTCTAGTTTAGAAAATGAGTGGCTGAATGATGACCTTCACATCACAGTTTTCCCTACACTTTCTGATATAGCTTGGAGGGATTGACAACAGCTAAAGACTTCAAGTCTATGTTGGGAATTTGTGCTCTATGTGGAGGAGGATAAAGATGTTTAAAATCAATGGAGACTTTTGTGGCAGCATTGCAATTCTAGCAATGCTTTCAAGGATGCTACATTGAATTCCGCTAAAACCCGAGCCTTTTAGTTTATCATCATTGTTTTGTTTTACAGATGAAGAGGGCTCTGAAATAGAACAGATGGATCATACATTTTAAAGTCAGACATGGAGGTTTAAAGTGTGTCTTTTCTGTTTACTTTTCTTAACATGGCACAGTTTATTTTAACACCCGAAAAGCCTGAATTCCCCTCTGGGTTAAAGTACACTGATACTTGCAAAGCAGCTGCTTCAGACAGGCACTCAGTGCATGGCCAGGTCTGTCACATCCACTTTCTCAGTGACAAATGGTCGGGTATTAGTCTGTCTGTGTCACTGTTAGTATTAGGAAGTGTGGGCTTCAGACCCACAGCTTATCACTATAATGTGAGCCATTTCTTATAACACAGTGCATTCATGGAATGGAAAAAAGGAGAAGTGCACAACACATTTTTATGCCTGGAGTGTGAGCTTCTATCCCATAACTAGTGACTGTGATGTGAGGGGCTGATTTCGGCACTCACCACATAGCCCTGGCTGGTTGATAACTATGTAGACTAGGCTGGCCTAGAACTCACAGATCCATCTACTTCTGCCTCCAGAGCACTAGAATTAATACTGTTGACTAATGGCAGTGAGTGTCAGTAGGAAAAATATTGACAGTGAAGTTAATGACACTGCCTGATTTTTTTTTTTAGGGCTCTTAACCTACCGTTGCTTTTCATCATTAATAAAAATGCTGTGTTTACCTTGCTTTTATTTCTTGAAAGGATGTTAAGGGTGTTTTAGAAGGTCAGTGTTCTATTGATAACTTTAAGAAATACTACCATAAATACAAAATTATTGATGATCTGTGGGAAAGGCTTATTCTCTCTCTCTCCCTCTTTCTCTCTTCCATGTATGTGTGTGCCTGTGCACGAGTGTGCATGTGACTGTGGAAGATTAAGAGGTGATATTTTGGTCTGGTAGGGAAAATACCAGCCACCATGAGTTCCAGCTCCAGTGTCCCAGCCCTTTTTGTACCCCATTGTTAAGACATGGTGCTTTGGATTTCAGACACTGCAATTTATTTTCAACAGATTATTCTATGTCTTAGGTGTTTAGAATGATGTAGCTTATTCTCTCTGTGCTTTCGAATATTCTTTTCTTGTTAAAATGGCATAAAGATCACCTATGGAGCAACTGCTAGAGAGAAACACATCCAGACACTGAAGTTATTTAAATAACTGATTTATGTTGACAGTTTGCATGTAAGCATTCATGTACATGTCAGTTTTCCAACACTGGTACATTCTCCAAACCACATTTCTGTAGACTGAATCATTTTTATTCAGTAAGAGGAAGGGGTTAAACCTCATTTTAAGGCTTAGTTTTTGTTGAACAGCATTGTGTCCCATTTACTGTCTCCAAAGCAGAGAGAAGTATGGAGACTGCATACACTTAAAAGATACTCTGAGGTCAACTCTCTACTTAATGACTTTTACATCCAGTGTTTTATTTGATATTCATACATGTATATACAATGTTTGAATCCAATCCACCACACCATCCCTTCCCTTCCATTCCTTTCCTTCCTCCTTCCACCTTTTCCTCCAAAATTCATATGCTCCCTCTCTTTTTTTGAAGTAATTTTAAAGTTCTTTTTCTTGTGTTTCAGCTGCATTTGAATGTTCAGGTTTTGCTGTTGTAGGATCACTGGGTTCTACTGGTGCCATATTGCTCTTTTGGTTGTTGATTGTATTCTTACAATTGGTGTGGCTTGTGCCTATGCCTGTTCTTCTAACTGGTGTGGTTTGCACCTGTGCCTTTGTAGTCTGGGGTTGTTGGGAAGGGCTGGCCAAGGAGGAGGGGTGTTCAGGTGCATGGGGCTGGACAGCAGAGTGAGTCTTGGAGGGATAGTCTAGTGGGTGGCGGGCTTTGGGCACAGCCTGGAGGCAGATCTCTTACCTGCTTGTAGGCTGGTGGGAACTACAGCAGAGCAGTGGAGTTTCACCAGAGGTGGGAATAGTGTCTAGCTGCCTTGCTAGTGCTGGGATGGGAGAGGGTAGGGCACAGGATATGTCCTGGGGTTTAGTTATGGTCCACACTTC